ACGTGGTTTCGATCCACGGACCTGGGGGCTATGAACCCCCCACTCTTCCACTGACCTGCGCTGCTCTCTATTTCAGTATTTTGAAAACTATCGCATATTAAATTCAGCTACTCCAAGATTGAAAAATCACGCAAATCAAATCATCAAAGTTAGCAGTGCGTGGTTTCAATCCACGGACCTGGTTAATAAAATTGCACGCAAATCAAACTACATCAAAGTTAGCAGCACGTGGTTTCGATCCACGGATCTGGGGGTTATGAGCCCCCCACTCTTCCACTGAGCTACGCTGCTCTCTATTTCGAAAACTACCGCATATTAAATTCAGCTACTCCAAGATTGAAAAATCACACAGATCAAATCATCAAAGTTAGCAGCGCGTGGTTTCAATCCACGGACCTGGTTAATAAAATTGCACGCAAAACAAACTACATCAAAGTTAGCAGCGCGTGGTTTCGATCCACAGACCTGGGGATTATGAGCCCCCCACTCTTCCACTGAGCTATGCTGCTCTCTATTTCAGTATTTTGAAAACTATCGCATATTAAATTCAGCTACTCCAAGATTGAAAAATCGCGCAAATTAAATCAAACTATATCAAAGTTAGCAGCGCGTGGTTTCGATCCACGGACCTGGGGGTTATGAGCCCCCCACTCTTCCACTGAGCTACGCTGCTCTCTATTTCGAAAACTACCGCATATTAAATTCAGCTACTCCAAGATTGAAAAATCACACAAATCAAATCATCAAAGTTAGCAGCGCGTGGTTTCAATCCACGGACCTGGTTAATAAAATTGCACGCAAATCAAACTACATCAAAGTTAGCAGCGCGTGGTTTCAATCCACAGACCTAGGGATTATAAGCCCTCCACTCTTCCACTGAGCTACGCTGCTCTCTATTTCAGTATTTTGAAAACTATCGCATATTAAATTCAGCTACTCCAAGATTGAAAAATCGCGCAATCAAATCAAACTATATCAAAGTTAGCAGCGCGTGGTTTCAATCCACGGACCTAGGGGTTATGAGCCCCCCACTCTTCCACTGAGCTACGCTGCTCTCTATTTCAGTATTTTGAAAACTATCGCATATTAAACTCAGCTACTCCAAGATTGAAAAATCGCGCAAATCAAATCAAACTACATCAAAGTTAGCAGCGCGTGGTTTCGATCCACGGACCTGGGGGTTATGAGCCCCCCACTCTTCCACTGAGCTACGCTGCTCTCTATTTCAGTATTTTGAAAACTATCGCATATTAAATTCAGCTACTCCAAGATTCGCGCAAATCAAATCGAACTATATCAAAGTTAGCAGCGCGTGGTTTCGATCCACGGACTTGGGGGTTATGAGCCCCCCACTCTTCCACTGAGCTACGCTGCTCTCTATTTCGAAAACTACCGCATATTAAATTCAGCTACTTCAAGATTGAAAAATCACACAAATCAAATCATCAAAGTTAGCAGCGCGTGGTTTCAATCCACGGACCTGGTTAATAAAATTGCACGCAAATCAAACTACATCAAAGTTAGCAGCACATGGTTTCGATCCACAGACCTAGGGGCTATAAGCCCTCCACTCTTCCACTGAGCTACGCTGCTCTCTATTTCAGTATTTTGAAAACTATCGCATATTAAATTCAGCTACTCCAAGATTGAAAAATCGCGCAAATCAAATCAAACTATATCAAAGTTAGCAGCGCGTGGTTTCGATCCACGGACTTGGGGGTTATGAGCCCCCCACTCTTCCACTGAGCTACGCTGCTCTCTATTTCGAAAACTACCGCATATTAAATTCAGCTACTTCAAGATTGAAAAATCACACAAATCAAATCATCAAAGTTAGCAGCGCGTGGTTTCAATCCACGGACCTGGTTAATAAAATTGCACGCAAATCAAACTACATCAAAGTTAGCAGCACATGGTTTCGATCCACAGACCTAGGGGCTATAAGCCCTCCACTCTTCCACTGAGCTACGCTGCTCTCTATTTCAGTATTTTGAAAACTATCGCATATTAAATTCAGCTACTCCAAGATTGAAAAATCGCGCAAATCAAATCAAACTATATCAAAGTTAGCAGCGCGTGGTTTCGATCCACGGACCTGGGGGTTATGAGCCCCCCACTCTTCCACTGAGCTACGCTGCTCTCTATTTCAGTATTTTGAAAACTATCGCATATTGGATTCAGCTATTTCAAGATTGAAAAATCACGCAAATCAAATTAAACTACATCAAAGTTATCAGCGCGTGGTTTCGATCCACGGACCTGGGGGCTATGAACCCCCCACTCTTCCACTGACCTGCGCTGCTCTCTATTTCAGTATTTTGAAAACTATCGCATATTAAATTCAGCTACTCCAAGATTGAAAAATCACGCAAATCAAATCATCAAAGTTAGCAGTGCGTGGTTTCAATCCACACCTGGTTAATAAAATTGCACTCAAATCAAACTACATCAAAGTTAGCAGCACGTGGTTTCGATCCACGGACCTGGGGGTTATGAGCCTTCCACTCTTCCACTGAGCTACGCTGCTCTCTATTTCGAAAACTACCGCATATTAAATTCAGCTACTCCAAGATTGAAAAATCACACAGATCAAATCATCAAAGTTAGCAGCGCGTGGTTTCAATCCACGGACCTGGTTAATAAAATTGCACGCAAAACAAACTACATCAAAGTTAGCAGCGCGTGGTTTCAATCCACAGACCTGGGGATTATGAGCCCCCCACTCTTCCACTGAGCTATGCTGCTCTCTATTTCAGTATTTTGAAAACTATCGCATATTAAATTCAGCTACTCCAAGATTGAAAAATCGCGCAAATCAAATTAAACTACATCAAAGTTATCAGCGCGTGGTTTCGATCCACGGACCTGGGGGCTATGAACCCCCCACTCTTCCACTGACCTGCGCTGCTCTCTATTTCAGTATTTTGAAAACTATCGCATATTAAATTCAGCTACTCCAAGATTGAAAAATCACGCAAATCAAATCATCAAAGTTAGCAGTGCGTGGTTTCAATCCACACCTGGTTAATAAAATTGCACTCAAATCAAACTACATCAAAGTTAGCAGCACGTGGTTTCGATCCACGGACCTGGGGGTTATGAGCCTTCCACTCTTCCACTGAGCTACGCTGCTCTCTATTTCGAAAACTACCGCATATTAAATTCAGCTACTCCAAGATTGAAAAATCACACAGATCAAATCATCAAAGTTAGCAGCGCGTGGTTTCAATCCACGGACCTGGTTAATAAAATTGCACGCAAAACAAACTACATCAAAGTTAGCAGCGCGTGGTTTCAATCCACAGACCTGGGGATTATGAGCCCCCCACTCTTCCACTGAGCTATGCTGCTCTCTATTTCAGTATTTTGAAAACTATCGCATATTAAATTCAGCTACTCCAAGATTGAAAAATCGCGCAAATCAAATCAAACTATATCAAAGTTAGCAGCGCGTGGTTTCGATCCACGGACCTGGGGGTTATGAGCCCCCCACTCTTCCACTGAGCTATGCTGCTCTCTATTTCAGTATTTTGAAAACTATCGCATATTAAATTCAGCTACTCCAAGATTGAAAAATCGCGCAAATCAAATCAAACTATATCAAAGTTAGCAGCGCGTGGTTTCGATCCACGGACCTGGGGGTTATGAGCCCCCCACTCTTCCACTGAGCTACGCTGCTCTCTATTTCGAAAACTACCGCATATTAAATTCAGCTACTCCAAGATTGAAAAATCACACAAATCAAATCATCAAAGTTAGCAGCGCGTGGTTTCGATCCACGGACCTAGGGGTTATGAGCCCCCCACTCTTCCACTGAGCTATGTTGCTCTCTATTTCAGTATTTTGAAAACTATCGCATATTAAATTCAGCTACTCCAAGATTGAAAAATCGCGCAAATCAAATCAAACTATATCAAAGTTAGCAGCGCGTGGTTTCGATCCACGGACCTGGGGGTTATGAGCCCCCCACTCTTCCACTGAGCTACGCTGCTCTCTATTTCAGTATTTTGAAAACTATCGCATATTGGATTCAGCTATTTCAAGATTGAAAAATCACGCAAATCAAATTAAACTACATCAAAGTTAGCAGCGCGTGGTTTCGATCCACGGACCTGGGGGCTATAAACCCTCCACTCTTCCACTGACCTGCGCTGCTCTCTATTTCAGTATTTTGAAAACTATCGCATATTAAATTCAGCTACTCCAAGATTGAAAAATCACGCAAATCAAATCATCAAAGTTAGCGTGGTTTCAATCCACGGACCTGGTTAATAAAATTGCACGCAAATCAAACTACATCAAAGTTAGCAGCACGTGGTTTCGATCCACGGACCTGGGGGTTATGAGCCCCCCACTTTTCCACTGAGCTACGCTGCTCTCTATTTCGAAAACTACCGCATATTAAATTCAGCTACTCCAAGATTGAAAAATCACACAGATCAAATCATCAAAGTTAGCAGCGCGTGGTTTCAATCCACGGACCTGGTTAATAAAATTGCACGCAAAACAAACTACATCAAAGTTAGCAGCGCGTGGTTTCGATCCACAGACCTGGGGATTATGAGCCCCCCACTCTTCCACTGAGCTATGCTGCTCTCTATTTCAGTATTTTGAAAACTATCGCATATTAAATTCAGCTACTCCAAGATTGAAAAATCGCGCAAATCAAATCAAACTATATCAAAGTTAGCAGCGCGTGGTTTCGATCCACGGACCTGGGGGTTATGAGCCCCCCACTTTTCCACTGAGCTACGCTGCCCTCTATTTCGAAAACTACCGCATATTAAATTCAGCTACTCCAAGATTGAAAAATCACACAAATCAAATCATCAAAGTTAGCAGCGCGTGGTTTCGATCCACGGACCTAGGGGTTATGAGCCCCCCACTCTTCCACTGAGCTACGCTGCTCTCTATTTCAGTATTTTGAAAACTATCGCATATTAAATTCAGCTACTCCAAGATTGAAAAATCGCGCAAATCAAATCAAACTACATCAAAGTTAGCAGCGCGTGGTTTCGATCCACGGACCTGGGGGTTATAAGCCCCCCCACTCTTCCACTGAGCTACGCTGCTCTCTATTTCAGTATTTTGAAAACTATCGCATATTAAATTCAGCTACTCCAAGATTCGCG